TTGATATAACCCTCGTTAACAACTTTAACCATGGAGTGGCTAACATCGAGGCCTTTAAAAGCTTCGCGAATATTGGAAGTGGTGTTTTTGCGCTGCTCGTCAACAAGTGCAGCCCGGTTGTGCAATCCCCAGAGTATTAAACTATCGCAGAATATCTCTGAGTACTTTTTCCAGCCCGTCTTCGGTTTGCCAGGCAATGCAATCTCTTTGCCCACATCAGAGATAAGATGGGCATATGAGTTCAGCGCCTTGTTAATGGATTTAGGTATAGCGGACATGTTGAATAGCTTACTGTTTGCAGAGATATGTACTACAAACTTTTTAAAAACCACTTTACTCTGAAGCAAATTTTCTGTGTGCTGACCATGATAATGCTCCAATTGCATGCATATGTTTTTGTAAATCTGGTGCAAAAAAGTCTACCAATCCCCACAGTTCTTCCTTTGACATACCATTTAGTTCTTGCTGAGACTTACCACGTAACAAAACAGCTCTCAAGTACATTGCCATTGTAGGATCCATATGATGCTCATGTATATAAATGGCTATTATTTGCTTAATTTCTTTAAGTGTTGGCATTGCATAACTAGTAAACCATTAGGAAAAATGCCTATACTACAATACACTTTTAGATTTGTTGCACTATAAAAGAAGTTATCTCATATTCCATGATAGATTGGATAGAAATATAATGCATATATCATCTATTTCAAGAGAATTTAAACGTAAACTATTAGCAAAAATTCCTTTATATAACACACTTTTGGATTTTTTAAAACTATTAACGATAAACACGATAGGGGAACAAGCCCCTCAACCAGATGTCAAAGTATTTCATCATGGCGGTTTTGCGACAACTTTTTTGTAACCACCAATTTTCTCCCAACCACCAAAGTATACAAACGATATTTTATAGACATTTCCTAAGTCTACATAACTTTTATTTATACAACTTCTTTTTTCTGTCTTGTTATCATACAAAATGCGATAGAAATGTCACAATGTTCATACCCATTTGCATCACGAAATATGGGGTACGTTTTAAGAAACGTCTATTTTTAAAGACATAGTTGCTCTTTAAACAACACATTTTCTCTACCTTATTATCACACAAAATGCAATAGAAATGTCACAATGTTCATACCCATTTGCATCACGAAATATGTAATGTGTTTTAAGAAACGTCTATTTTAAACGACATAACTATTCTGTTAACAACTTCTTTTTTCTGTCTTGTTATCACACAAAATGCGATAGAAATGTCACAATGTTCATACCCATTTGCATCACGAAATATGTGATACGTTTTAAGAAACGTCCATTTTAAACGACATAATTACTCTGTTAACAACACATTTTCTCTACCTTATTATCACACAAAATGCGATAGAAATGTCACAATGTTCATACCCATTTGCATCACGAAATATGTGATAAGTTTTAAGAAACGTCTATTTTAAACGACATAATTACTCTGTTAACAACACATTTTTTCTATCTTATTATCACACAAAATGCGATAGAAATGTCACAATGTTTATACCCATTGGCATCACGAAATATGTGATACGTTTTAAGAAACGTCCATTTTAAACGACATAATTACTCTGTTAACAACACATTTTCTCTACCTTATTATCACACAAAATGCGATAGAAACGCCACGATGTTTATATCCATTTGCATCACGAAATATGTGATGTGTTTTAAGAAACGTCTATTTTTAACGACATAATTACTCTATTAACAATACATTTTTTCTATCTTGTTATCACACAAAATGCAATAGAAACGTTGTAATATAATAGCCATTTGCATTATAAAATATGTGATGTGTTTTAAGAAACGTCTATTTTAAACGATATAATTGTTATATCTACAACTACCCACAATGCATGGTCTAATTGCGATATCTCTGTTTTTACCATTGTCGTAATTACCTACAATCTGTATAACAATAAATGCTATAACAATTGTAAGTTAACCAAAGTGTAATAATATTAAACGTCGTGCAAATCGTGGGCTTACCTAAAGTATGTCAACATTAAACATTGTAATACTTACGAGTTTATCAAGAATGTATTAAAATTAAACATCACGATAATCACGAGGTCATCCAAAATGCGTTCATATCAAATATCATAACTATGGTAATAACTACAGTTTGTCAGCTGTCGAATCGAATGCCGAATGTCAAATGTCGAATGTCGAATATTGTTGAGAAAGTGTAGCAATAACGCCATTAAAAACGTATCAGCTACCCTTTCTTTCCAACAACCAATGTTTGTTAAAGCCACTATGCTACTTTTTAAAAAAATCGGGATCCAACTTTTTTTTTAAAACTACCACTACATCATCACCAGTATCACGAGTGCTATATTGGATATACACATAGGATATATCATGAAAAGGAGATATTAGTAACCATCGCTAATTATATAAACACGAAAACAAATGCTCTACTAGGAGGCCATCCATGTTCGGCTCCACCAACCATAGACTACAGTATAAAAATATCTGTCAACACCTATTAAAACAGTGTGTTCCTTGAGAGTACAACAAATCTCATCAGCTTTTTCCTTCCACCAGTCTCCATTTTCTACATTCACCACCACTACTTTGTAACATCATCTACTTTAGCTGAGAAAGCCTTGGACATGATCATCTCATATTGGATCCTTGATATTACAGATAGTAATTTCCTTTCCAATATGAGATGATCATGTCCAAGGCTTTCTCAGCTAAAGTAGATGATGTTACAAAGTAGTGGTGGTGAATGTAGAAAATGGAGACTGGTGGAAGGAAAAAGCTGATGAGATTTGTTGTACTCTCAAGGAACACACTGTTTTAATAGGTGTTGACAGATATTTTTATACTGTAGTCTATGGTTGGTGGAGCCGAACATGGATGGCCTCCCATGCACTTGGTCACTTTGGGACCAATGCCATGGTAAAACACATTCACGGAGTGGACAAGACCTGGCCTAATCTAGCCAAGGATTGTTTGGAGTTCGTTCAACGTTGCCAACAATGCCAGCGAAACAATATCGCTCGCAAAGGGTACCACCCAATGAAGGCCGTTCATGCTCAGTTACCAGGAGAACACATGGCTGTTGATCTAGCCGGACCTTTTCCTGTGGATAGCGGAGGTAATCGATTCCTTCTCATCTTAGTCGATGTTTGTACAAGATTTGTGTTCCTTGAACCTATACCGAACAAGGAGGCACTCACCGTCGCAAAGGTGTTGTTCAAAACATTTACTTTGATCGGTTTTCCCGCCATTCTACAATCTGACAACGGCAGAGAATTTGTCAATGGGGCAATTAAAGTAATGACTACTAATTTAGGTGTGGACCATCGGTTGGTCACTCCTTATCACCCCAGAGGCAATGGTGTTGCCGAGAACCACGTCAAAACGGCGTGTAGCATTATCAGAAAAGAAATCGACGACCAGAAACAAAGTTGGGCATTACATGTTCCTATGGCACAGCTGGCCATGAACACGAGAATTGTGGCTCTTCACAACTCTTCGCCTTTTTCTTTGTTTTTTGCAAGGCGATTTAATGGACTGAGTAATCTCTCGGATGAAAAGGGTGTTATTCCTTCTCATGAAGTGCTCTTAGAACGCCTTGAATACATGACCAAGGTTGTTTTCCCAGCAATTCAAACCAAGACACGTGACACTCAACAGCGAATGATTGAGCGTTTTAACAGAACGGTACTGCACAATGAGTTCCCAGATGGAGCAAAAGTAATGTCTTTGGATCCTATTAGGGGTGACAAGCTATCGCCTCGTTACGAGGGCCCCTACACTGTTGTCCGCCGCACCACTGGTGGTTCTTATGCTCTCAAAGATGGGACAGGAGAATTACTGGGGCGCAATTTCGCACCATCACAGCTAAAGCTGGTACTGGACGACTTTGAGGAAACAGAAACTTACGAAGTGGAAAAAATTCTCGACCATAGGGATGTTCCTGGGGAGGGAGTAGAGTACTACGTAAGTTGGAAAGGATACAAGGAACGAACTTGGGAGCCTCAAAAGAACTTTGTTGAGAGAAAGTGTATCACAGACTATTGGAAGACCCGCGATCAACCAATTGCACAATCTCTACCGCAGCCTCGTCAAACGTTGAAGACACATGAGTCAAGGAGCGAAGAGCAGGAGTCAGCTTCAAAGCAACGGAAGGCTAAAGATCGATCGAAAGATAAGCCAATGAATGATACGATCAGTGATGAGATAAGTGGGGGCACGCGCAAGCATGGCAGCCCAAATGATAGTGCACAGATAGCAGTGCAATCAGAACCCCGCAAGCGCAAGCGCTTAATTAAGGAGACTGTCGAAAAGAGTAGCACGGAGAAAAGGACTACTCGCACGCGCAAGCGTGGTCGAAAGTAATCCTCATCACCACAAGATGGAGTGAATGGAGAGAAGGGGTTTTTTTTCAGCTTTCCCCTTATAATCACGCATGAGGTTTTCCCTTTGGGTTTCCCCTCACGAGGATTTTGCTTTTTTGCCTCGAGTGATATGTACTATATGTCATGAGAGGTTTATTGACCCTCAACACGACTGACAAGGTTTCTTTTGTTTTCCTTTGCAGATCAGTGTATTTTTATTTTCTTTTTTATTTTTATTTTCCTTTGGGTTTTCTTTTTTTCCCAAACACCACACACCACAAAGCACCCACGCGTTCCTTTCTTCTCAGGGCGGCTTTCAGCCTTCCCTTGGGAGGGAGTTGTTGCGTATTTGCCTTGTGGATCATAGATAGATGAAGACATGAACTAGCTAGAACTAAGCCACCAGGAACGACATAAGAGATCGTTCCTGGTGGGCCCTAATACAACCTTCTTCTTGTCTCGTTACTTACAAAGTGAGTCTAAACCTTATTTTATCGCAAGGAGAAACTGTTTTTTTGAGGCATGACAATTTCCTCCGCAACTCCTAATGGCATCAACATGAGAAAAAATTCCGAGTCGTGGGTGCATAATGCTATATTCAAAATGTCAAATCTCAGAACTCGAGATCCTCATTCGTTCTTCCAAAATCTGCTTGACCTCCTTTGCCATGGGAATATTGGTCAGCTTTTCGAGAACAGCCCAGTTATGCGTCACCCATCGAGCCTCGGCCTCGGTCCAGACACAGCGCTTGCAACCCTGTTTACCGCCATCCCATCGGTGGTTCCTGGGTACCTCCAACTCTCTCAGTCGTCGGAGGGGCTTTAAGCAGTCCAGACCCTCGGTCAGAGTTAGCAGCAAGATCCTCTGACATTTGGAATCGGCATCAACGACAGGGTTTCGTCGATCTGGCTCTTCATCAACGGCGGCGCCTTCAACTCCCACCACCTCCTCATCTTCATCAATCTTGGATTCAGTCGTAGACTTCTCCAGGTTCAGGACCTCTAGTCTCGACAGTCGAGAGAGTTGTTCCAGAAAAAGGTATTGTCCACGATCACTCTCTCGGCGTGTCTGTCGTACAAAGCCCAGCGAAAGCTCCTTCAAACCTAAACAGACCCAGGACCGGCCACGGTCACGATCACGCTCAAGATTTGATTCCTTGATGTAATCCGCTTTGAAAACCTTAAGGCTGGTGATTGAACAAAGAATGTCCTGAACTTGGGACCCTTTCAGGAGTGAACAATCATCGAGATTTAGAACAGTAACCGTAGACAGATATCCAGGATAGTGATCCTTGATGAGCGTCCAGGAGTCCTCGTCGAAAGTGGTTGAGTTCAGAGATAATTCCTTCAGGGACGATTGGAAAGAGTTGAGAATGATATCCAGATCCTGAATCCTGAACTCGCTCAGACCTAGACCAAGGGATTCCAATTGTTGTTGTCGTCCTTGATAGAATCTACCAGACTTGATCACACGAGCCATCTGCGCCATGGGTCCTTCTTCGACGACTTCTACGTCCTCATAGGTTTCGGAATCGCACTCTACACATACGGTAGCCCATTCCAGACGAACGAGATTAGGGCTGTTGAGGATGAAGAGAAGTTGCAGTCGAATCTGCGCACGATCGGTTCCATACTCATTCGTGATCATAATCAATTCTTGGAGTTTTGTCGGTGGTGCTTGTTCCAGCAGGTCAGTGGCCATACCCAGGTTCTTCCACGCCTCGTATTCCGTATTAAAGAGCTTAAACTCGTACAGAGAGAGAGACAAGACTCGGGACCAGAGAGTGTGGTACTTATCCATGAACACACTCGGAAGACCATGAAAATCCCAGTTCTTAATCGAGAGGCGAGTCAACAATGGTAACTCATGGGCCAGGATCAGTGTCAGTTCGACCGTGTGGAAAGAAGAGAGGGTCAGGTTCGTGATTGTGGCCTGGTGTCGTTCCATAAACGAGAAGATCTCGCGGTCCTTGTAAGCCTTGTTATAGTGCGTGTCGATCTTGAGAACCGCGAGGTTTGGGAAAAAAAGGGGGTTGTCGCCGTCAGTCGGGTCTGGACCGCAGAACTTAGGGAACTTGTGGGAGTAGACCTCGAGGCTGTTGATGAGGGAAGCGTGCTGTCGAAGGTTTGAGAAAGAAGGGCCTATGTCGGGATCATACTCGTCAGGATCATGCCATAGATAGATTCGTTGCCAAAGGAGAAGGCACAGGGTGGTATACCAGTCCTTTGAGACACAGAGAGACGTTTTGAGCGACCTGGTGTTGAGGAATGAGGCAATGTGAAGCAAGATTTCCATGATGGTGACTGGAGATGGGTTGTTGATGGAGGGGAATGTAGCATGTGGAGGAGATGACGATGCTGTCGACATGGCTGATGTGGACTGAGGGTGGCGGATCAACGACGACATGCTGGCATCCTTGGCTGTGGGTATGGTCATGGTCACGGTATGTGTCGAGAATCTAGATTAGAACAAGGCAGAGTTGACCTTTTCTTAGGCAGGATCAGGAAGAGAGGTGGAGGAAGAGAACAAAGGGAATAGGGGGTCAGATATGGGTTTTCAAGGTGTAGACAAAGTATTATTCAAGTTACTAGGTAAGGATCAAACTATTTGGGGTACTATCTCTATCTCCTTCTCTTTAAAAAAATAACGATTTTTTTAGTTAAATCACGTGAGGGCGGAGCCCGAACTAAAAATGTTGTGAGGGCCGTGGCCCTCACCAGTATCTTGCGCGTAGCGCCAGCGCGAAGCGCCTGTGTCTTGCGCGAAGCGCCAGTATTTTGTGAGCGAAGCGAGCGATGGTCACGGGCAAGGCCATCAAGAGTATCTTGCGCGAAGCGCGCCAGTGTCCTGTGAGCGCAGCGAGCGTACGGGCACGGGCTAAGAGGATATGAGGGCGTAGCCCGAATCAAGGGGCTTTGAAGAGGATGTGAGCGCAGCGAGCAATGGTCACGGGCGCGCGCCCTGGCGAGACAATCGAAAGTATCTTGCGCGAAGCGCCAGTATGTTGTGACCGCACGGGTACGAAAGGGAGAAGATGATGTGAGGGCGTAGCCCGAACCAGAGGACCTTTTTTGCGCCAAGCACCCGTACTTTGTAAGCGAAGCGAGCGATGGTCACGGGCAAGGCCATTAAGAGTATCTTGCGCAAAGCGCGCCAGTATCCTGTGAGCGCAGCGAGCGTACGGGCACGGGACAAGAGGATATGAGGGCGTAGCCCGAACCAGAGAAACTTTCTTGCGCAAAGCCCCAGTACTTCGTAAGGGCAAAGCTGTAGCTGTCAGATCCCTATTGCCGCCTGCGGCAAAAGGAAGCGACCGCTGGAGCGTGGCCGTCTGGGCCATCTAGCGCAAAGCGCCAGTATGCTGTGAACGAGCCTTTTCGCAAGCCTACTAAGGAGGCCATCCATGTTCGGCTCCACCAACCATAGACTACAGTATAAAAATATCTGTCAACACCTATTAAAACAGTGTGTTCCTTGAGAGTACAACAAATCTCATCAGCTTTTTCCTTCCACCAGTCTCCATTTTCTACATTCACCACCACTACTTTGTAACATCATCTACTTTAGCTGAGAAAGCCTTGGACATGATCATCTCATATTGGAAAGGAAATTACTATCTGTAATATCCAGGATCCAATATGAGATGATCATGTCCAAGGCTTTCTCAGCTAAAGTAGATGATGTTACAAAGTAGTGGTGGTGAATGTAGAAAATGGAGACTGGTGGAAGGAAAAAGCTGATGAGATTTGTTGTACTCTCAAGGAACACACTGTTTTAATAGGTGTTGACAGATATTTTTATACTGTAGTCTATGGTTGGTGGAGCCGAACATGGATGGCCTCCTAAAAAGCAAGAAATCCTCTGGCGTGATGTAGAGCAAAGGGCAGTCAAGGATATCTTGAATATACTGCGCGTGAGGGTGACCCGAGAGAATAATGAATACTAACAAGGCCAGGGGGATGGCTCCTCAGCTACTAAGATGACTATCTAATAAGGGAGGTCAGCTGGGCCCAGCTGGGACCAGGGATATTATTCTTTATGGCACAACAGGAAACTCCACAGGTATGAGCTCTACATTCCCCAAGCATGCCATTGGCCACAGGTAGTTGTGAAAAATTTACAGTCACACTACACTTGAAAAAGGAAAAAGGTAATAGGCAAGTGGCACCCTTATCTTTAAACGAGTCTTCTTCAAAGACCCTTCAAACACCCTTCAAAGACCCTTCCAAGACCCACACCCCTCACCCCAGACCCCCTTACAGCAACTTCCGGCACCCGTGGCATCGCCCACGGGCAACCTTTCTAGTCTCTTTCTCTTTAAAAAAATAACGATTTCTGTATATCACGTGAGGGCGGAGCCCGAACTAAAAATGTTGTGAGGGCCGTGGCCCTCACCAGTATCTTGCGCGTAGCGCCAGCGCGAAGCGCCTGTATCTTGCGCGAAGCGCCAGTATCCTGTGAGCGAAGCGAGCGTACGGGCACGGGACAAGAGCATATGAGGGCGTAGCCCGAATCAAGGGACTAAAAAGAGGATGTGAGGGCGTAGCCCGAACCAGAGGAACTTTCTTGCCCAAAGCGCCAATATTTCGTAAGGGCAAAGCTATGGCTGTCAGATCCCTGTTGCCGCCTGCGGCGAAAGGGACCGCTGGAGCGTGGCCGTCTGGGCCATCTTGCGCGAAGCGCCAGTCTGTTGTAAACGAGCTTTCTAAAAAGCAGTCCGCTCTCTGTTTTGTTTTCTTTTTTTTTTGGGTCATGGGTTGGATCTTACTTCTTCCTTCATTCCCGAATCCTTCCTCCTTCATCGCCGCTTCACTCTCAAGCTCAATTCCTCTCTCTCTTTGCATCTTTCCCCACACGCATAACGATAACGACACAGAGGTAAACATTGCTAATCAGGAAAACGCAATCAACAAGCATCTCCATCAACCTCAACCAAGACACTAATTAATTCGCCCTCTGCTATCAACAAATGTAGATGCCCAGAGTTGCTATCTGTCCGGCTTGCCTTCAAGAAGGCCATTCACGTTCTTCAAGTAAAGACTGCATGCTGAATGCGCGAAGGTATGTTTGACATACGTTTCTGACTGAGATTGTAGTTTCTATGCCTCTCATGGCTGCAACTAACCTTTTTTTTTTTAAAAAAAAAAATTAAATCTATTAGGCTGGCAACGCTGATCGATCAACTTGAAAGAGACGCCTATATTGCGCGCGTTCGTGCGCAATCGCTAAACATTGAGCCACGCGTTGCTCCCCCCGCCCCTGTTCTTGGCCTTGCACCTCGACCACCACCGCCTACTTACGTACCGCTCGCTCGGAGGAAGGTCTTCTCGGAAGACTTGATTAGAGGACCGGATGTTGTTGATGGCCGTCACAAGATCGATCGGATGATTTCATGTCCGCACTGCAAGGCACGAGTTTGGATTCAGGAACGGAGTGGCGGTAGCAAGCAATTCCCGCTATTTTCGATATGCTGTTTACAGGGACGAGTCCACATTCCAGAGATCGCCGCGGATCCAGGGCTCTTGGAGTTTATTAGCGAGCAGTCTGCTGCAGGAAACACATTTCGCGACAACATTCGAAAATACAACTCTGCATTGTCCTTCACCTCCATGGGCGTCTCTACCGATCTTGATCTTGCTAATGCACGAGAGGGTGTGTATACATATCGGATCCAAGGAGCAGTTGTACATGAGCTTGGTCCGTTGCGAGCCCGTGAGGGCGAGGAACCGACCTTTGCTCAGATCTACTTTCACGATCCGAACGAGCAGGCCGCTCGCCGTCAGGAGATCTTTCCTGATGTTTTCGATGAGGTTCGGCTACGAGAGATCCAAACAATACTGGAGACCAACCGGTTTTGCCTTGCGTACAAGAATATCCGAGAGCTTGAAGCAGAGCATGGGCCTATCGAGGAAATCAGGATTGTGTTGAAGGCTGCGAGAGAGACCAATGGGCGCAGACAGCGGCAGTACGACCTTCCCTCAGCTAATGAGATTGCTGTCCTAATGCCAGGAGATGATACAGCTACCGAGCCCAGGGACATTGTTATCCAAGGCAGGAATGGATACTTGAAGAGGATCGATGAAACTCATCCTGACTACGATCCAATGCAATATATACTTTTGCATCCTCGAGGCGAAGATGGCTGGAAATTCAAGACCTATTTCTTAAGGCCGAGGCAGGCATATCCGTTACAAGACGAAGCGGTTGATCCAGGAGAAGCAGGAGATCCACAGGGGAACGACTTGGAAGACCCTAATGCCGAAGCTATGGAGGAATCCGATCATGACGCTGAGGAGGTGGAGGAGGAGGTGGAGGAGGAGGAGATGTGGGAGGAGGTGTGGGAGGAGGGTGAGGAGGGTGAGGAGGTGGTGGAGGTGGTGGAGGTGGTGGAGGTGGTGGAGGAGGGTGAGGAGGGTGAGGGGGATGAGGAGGGTGAGGAGGGTGAGGAGGATGAGGAGGGTGAGGAGGGTGAGGAGGTGGTGGAGGAGGGTGAGGAGGGTGAGGAGGTGGTGGAGGAGGGTGAGGAGGGTGAGGAGGTGGTGGAGGAGGGTGAGGAAGAGGTGGAGGAGCACCAAGGCGTGGACAAGTCTGTTACGGCGCGTGCTTACTACGCCTATCGTCTCCAAGTGCGTCCCGTTAGTGACACCGATTCGCGGTGTTATTTTTGGCTGTTTGGTCGTCTTTGCCAGCAGTATGTGGTGGATCAATACGCAAAGATCGAATCCGGAAGATTGGCGTACATCAAGAATAACCAGAAAAAACTCCGCATCGACCTCTACAAGGGCCTCATGGATGCCATGCAGAAAGACCATGCAGCCGGCGGCACCGGCAAGTTTATCGTGCTGCCTTCTTCCTTTACCGGCGGTCCTCGACATATGGCCGCGCTTTACCAGGATGCGATGACTATGGTCCGCCGCTTGGGCAAGCCGGATCTATTCATCACTTTTACCTGCAATCCCAAGTGGCCCGAAATCGAGAGCGAGTTGATGGAAGGTCAGAAAGCAGCCGAGAGACCCGACTTGATAGTTCGAGTCTTTCATATCAAGCTCCAGGCTTTCCTGAATGACATTATCAGGAAGAAAGAAAAGGGCATTTTTGGCAAGGTTTGTTACATCTCAGTGTCTGTTCACTTTCTTTATTTTTTTCTATCTAAAGTAGTTGTTAGTCCTATGTATATAGTCATATGGATCAATAAAGAACTTTTTTCTCACCATTTCCTCTTTCTTATTGTTCATATTACAAGGTCATTGCCTATACCTACGTGATCGAGTTTCAGAAGCGCGGCTTGCCTCACGCCCACATGCTGCTCATCCTGGAAACAGCAAGCAAGATCAAGACCATCGACGACATTGATGCCACAGTCTCTGCCGAGATTCCTGACCCTGAGACGTGTCCTCTTTTATATGAGACAGTAACGTCGTCAATGATCCACGGTC